CATACCGACGCTAAGTACTGAGGCTTGTTTCTGGCACATTGGCAACGCACCATGCCACCATCACTCTAAGCCTCAGCAAAAACACCGATGTTGGCACAAGAAGGGTGCATCGCGCTAGGGGTGCTGGCGCAGGATTAGCATGTCGCTAGGGGGAATTTCACTGGAAGCGCTTTCTGCCGTAATAGAAGCACGCTGCGCCCCTATCGCGCCACAAAAATAAAAATAAAATCAGCTTTTAAATACCTCACCTAGCACAAAACCTACTTCATATTCTTTTTCCAGTATGTCTTTAGCCGATCCTCTCTCCAAATTCCTACTCTTTCTTCGTTTTCTTTACCTACTTTCTTCCCAAAATCATCCATTCCTCCATTGAAGTTTAAGAAAACCTCCATCCCTCCCCGTTTCCTAAACTCTAAGACCCTAAAATCCACTCTAATGTACCAAATTTTCAAAACCCACTAAACCTCCCGCCCCTACCCGACTCCTCCCCCCTTCATTTTCCCCCCAATTTTTTTATCTTTTCTTCTAATCTTCCATTGTTGGGTTTGATATGTCTTCTAAAGTCAATAGTTTTTTTAGTGGTTCGGGTACCAAGAGGAGTAGGAACGGAGCGGCTTTCGCAAATTCTAGTTGTGAAACCACCAATATACCGCCCCAAAAATTTGACGAGCAATCTTTGATGTATTATAGAAAGGATTGGTACAGATTTCAACAAGAATCCAAGTACCTCGATGATGAATATATTGATAAGAGGCGATTCTGACAACAACTTCCCAACATTCACGCCCAAATCAATGCCTTAGGACTCCAATATGTCTTCATGAATCAAGGTGAGTGCAATTTAAACTTGGTTCGAGAATTTTATGCAAATTGGAATGTATATTGTGTTGACATAAACAATGGTTTTATTCGAGATAGTTTGGTAAGGTTTAGTGTGGAAGCGTTGAATGATTTTGTGATATTAGTCATACCTAGTGTGGGGTGACTTCTGTTGCGAGGTAGGATAAGGTTAGAGATATGGGACATCAGTTGACTATCCACTATGGGCATTTCAATTTAGAGGCTCGCATTTGGTTGAAAAATGTCTGTAGCACCTTACTACCATGCATGTAAGCATACAACAGAGTAGTGCTATTATGAGAGCATCCTTAATAAGTACATGTGGGAGTTACTGGTTGAAGAGGAGGTCCATAATGTGAGCCCCGGTGGTGCCCCTAATCTAGTGTTCCACTTGGTTGATGTCACATGCACTATAGCGCACGATCCATCCCATGAGCCTATGTTGACTACTATTGATAGTCAAGCTCGTGATGATAGTTGGATGGGGTGTATGTTTGGAATGGCTGAGTTATAATTTATGATAGGTGGTCGTCCGGTGACTGAGGATGAAATGGCGACACTAGCGAGGAGTTACCTATTGAAGGATAGCGCATTTTACATATGTCAGATGGGCCCGGCTTTCCAAGAATCCATTGATGGTGATGATGTCGCTGATGATGATGAGGATGAATTGGATGAGGATAAGTCAGATGCTACTGGACTTGAAGATGATGATACGTATGCAGGTGATGCAGAATGTAGCCTCGATGTCTATGGATTTTGCCGCTAATATGGAAACCCATTGTGTTGAAGTGCGTGACCTTGAGGCCGACAGGGAGTTCTCTTACCTTTGCACTTTCTTTTAGTGTGCACACTAAGGACAATATTTTGTTTAAGTGTGGGGTGCAAGTTGAACTTCATTGTACATACTTTAATACTTTATCGAGTCTATTTTATTTTTAGGAGGGTTCCTCGGATTATGTTTTTGGTTATTTTCCCAATGATAGTCCTATCGAACGAATAGGACTAGTTTTATTACGTTAACGAGTTTTAGAGTCGTCTAGGAGTGACGTTTCATGATGATGGGTGGATGACACCCGTCTTAAGGGAAATTAGTTATTAGGAGTAGAAGTATGAAACCTACCTTTTGGCACTTTGACACCTTTTCTAGATAGTTGGTTAGACGTCATGGGTAATAACACTTTGTTTGTAATAGTAAGATCGTAATCTTGAAAAAAAACATTATCTCTTTATCTTGACTCTAAATGGAAAATAATGAATTTGGTCTTAATTGTGTGGAAACACTGTAATGCATTTTATGTGAGCATGCTACAAGTATTGGGTCCTTATGTGTGTTGTGATGCCATGTGTGGAGGATATTTGTTTAGTTTCTGTATTGAATAACATCTAGAACATGACCCGTGTGATTAAGGAGTGAAATGTGTGAATTATAGAATATGATTGAGGAGTTTCTTTGAATAGCCATGTTTGAATTTTCTTTGTGTGCCACCCAATAAAATATCTTTAGCTTAGCCCCATTTAGCCTTGTAGGACTAACAAATGTTCAAGTGTGGGCTGGTGATCATGAGCATATTTATATGCCTAATTACTACAAATTACACATCTTTAACGTAAGTTTTACGACATTCACTGATATAAATGGCATATTTTGGTCAAGGGAAGTGATCGAGTCAAGGAAGAAAAGGAGTTCAAGATGATAAGTGAAGCCATAAGCAAAGGCGAGGCACGGTGCCCCATCATAACTGGCGCACCATGGGCACGACGCGCTAAGCTCCTGTTAATTTAGGCCACATTTGAGTGCACTGGCAGCGCGGCGACTCTACTGTTTCTAACTATTTATAAATAGACCCTTTGGTCTCCATTGTTAAGGTTTGACTTTTCTTTGGTGTGCAAGAGAGCAAGTATCATCATTTGTAATAGGTTTTGATCTTCTAAACTCTTGTATTTTTCAGAAGTTGCATGAACAATTGTATTTTTTGTTTTTTCATTAGCATGAGTGGCTAAACACTATTGTATAGGGGTTGTAGCTACGAATTGAATGCTGATTATTAAAAGCATTCTGAATTTAGTTTTGATTTCATTGTAATTTAATTCGATATTCTTATTTTAGTATTTCTTGATTGGTCATCTAGAGATAAATATATTATCTAATCTTAAAATTGAGAGAGAAGAAATTAGATAGACCAGATAATATAGAGAGATTGGTTCACCCATTAGATTGAGGTGATTAGTGTTCAGCAATGACTCCCAGACATACAACTTGCTTGGTTAGGAAATAGGAAGAAATATAAATGCTCACCAGTTAGTCTATTTATCTCAGCTCAATGATATAGTTAGATAGCTATATAGAGTAGGCGAAGAGAGGTGTATATCCTGACTCATACATTTAACCTATAATATGATAAATGAGATTCAGTATATGTTGCATCCCTAGAATTCTCTTTTACTTGTTTGAAACGCTATCTTAAAGTCATTCACATTTAGTTACGTTTATTTAGTTCATACTTAGTAGTAGTTAACAATTAATAACCAACTCTTGGAAAGGTTACTTTTATTTTTATTTGTAGAATTGAGTGTCTGATATAAGTTAATCATAAGTCCCTTGGGAAAGATAACTCTGTTCTTTAAAAATTAATATTACTTGTGCGACCATATACACATGCGTGTATATGGAGAGCAACAATCATCTACGACCTGTAAGAACTTCCACGGTCGATAGATCAGTCTCGTAAAACACAAAAAGTAGCCTAAAATGAGACCTTCCTTTTCCATCGTTAGTTTTCCAATTTCTGAGGTGTTACAACTCTAGTAGAAATAGTGAATGTCTTGTGCTCAAGAGCCTAGTGAGCCTCAATACTATCACCATTTTCTTTTACATTATAGCAAATAAATTTTAGATTAAAAATCAACATGATAAGATGCACAAAAAAAAGTTCATGCTTAAATTATTATATATAGTTTGACTATAGCACAATGAAGAATAATAGGTAAAAATAATAACTTACATATTTATGTTTTTAGCAACCAATCTACCTCACAATTTAGGGGCAATGATGACCTAAAAAGAGCTAAAGTATTTTATCCCCAATTAATCTAAAATGATAAACAAAATGTATGCATTTTTCTAATCGAACATAAGTTTATACTCACTGTTAAATAATGTTTTTCAAAAATACAATCAAGTACCTCAAATATTGAAATGGAAATAAATCATTATGATGCGAATTTATGAAAAAAATATTTTATCTACAATAGAACTATTGCAGACTTAAAAAAAAGTGTCCACTATTATATTATCACTATTTTACTATAAAAAAGATTCACTAAAAAATATTCGATCGATATTTCCACACATATTTTAACTAAAACAATGAGAAAATAAAATATAATAATATTTCTATATGAAAAATTAGCAAGGTTACCAATATTTCATTAAGAATATCTTTTTCCGCATGAATTTCTTTGGTGATCGATTTATAACGGAAAGTGGTGGGAAAACCATGTTTTATAACACAAATTACTCAGTAATTTGTTTTGCGAAAAGCTTTTGTTTAATGTAATGGTCCGTCCCGCTCTAAACTAATTAATAAAAAATGTAAAGAAGTCAAGTTGACTCAATTTAAGGGAGTCTTGACATAATTGATAAGTTATTTCTATGTGATTAAAAAATTACAGATTCAAATTTTGAAAGTACTCTCTTTAAACAAAGCAAAACAAGTTACGTAAAATTAATTTTTGTGATTCACTCTTCTCCGGGCCTCACACATAGCGTACACTTAGTACATAGGATTGTCCCTTTTAATGAGATTTTTCAATAAATAAACATGATGGATAAATTGAATAGTCTATATTCAAATTTTAAAGTCCTATCATTGTACCGATTCTATATTAGCCCCACAAAAAAATTACTTTTCAATAAGACATTTGAGATGAATAACAATTAGAAATTGGCAGAGTTGATCATTAGAATCTTCACTAAAATGTAAAGAAGTACCTCATAATTTTGACTCATGACACATCGTCATTTTCAACTATCAATAAAATGATCAGTCAAAGTTATAGAATTCCATCAACTATCAAAATTAATAACGTCTCTTTTTTTTATATGCCAAAAAAATTGAAATGGTAATTAAAACAATAGAAAGTTCATAGGGTAACAATGTTACTAGTACGTTGGTAAAATCAAAAATCTCAAAAAGTATTAAATACTACAATGGTTCGTAGTGAAAATACACCACACTGAAAAAGTAAGAAATGATATTTTTCAGACTAATGTTGATAAAATGATTGATTGATGGCTATGTTGAAAGAAAAAAAATATGTCAAACTTAAAATATCCATAGATTTATCATTTAAATAATTCTACTCCATCAATAAACAAGACACAGAAGCATGTAGTGTCTCCACCAAGTTAATCAACTGAAAATGTGGCTTGAGAATTTTTTTTGTTTTAAATGAGAACCAAAGGCTCATATCCTATAGAGTCAAACAATCTTTCTGCAAACAGGACAAGAATTGTTTCTCTTCAGCCACTTTCTGATGCATTGAAAATGAATTTTTATGTCCACAGTTGGTTATTCGTAGTTCTCCCCCATCATCAGAAGTACCCTATACATGCCAAAATAGGAAAACATATAATTGAATAAGGTTTTCGAGAAGCTTTAAAGTGAAATGGGAAACAACTAAAGGTGTGTTCCTTACCAAACATATGCAGCAAGAGTCACTATAAATTTTCATCTTGGTTGATTGATACTTGTTCTGCTTCATCAGTTTATAAAAAATGCTCTTTTTCAATGTTATTTGAAAAAAAAATAATAGATTGACTACTCTAATCATATCACATGTTCATGTATTGTATCTCAGTGTATTAGCTGATACGGGTGTAATCATTTAAAATTTATTAAATATAAATTTATAAAATGATTCAAATTATATTGAATTCATAAATATATTAATCCAAATAAATATTGTGGATTGATATAATTGACTTAAATATTTAAGTCCAATAAATATGGATTTAACTGAAGTCTAAATTAATTGTTTCGGGCTACATTGGATGAACTCAATTTGTTAAACCCAATCACATCTCATTCTAGAGCCCATCTTGGCGCCACGTGTACAAATGATGTGGCATGCCAAGTCAAATAAGAAAACCAATAGAATCATGACATGTGTCAAAGATGACAAGACCGCTCCATAAAGCCCATATGCCATGTCACATAAATTTGATTGGTTGAACGGAATCGTATTCCAATCGCAACTCCTCTATTCTAAAACTATAAATAGGGGTCCTCATAATTCAGAAAAGGGGCAGAAAATTCTAAACAAGAAGCTAGAGAAACTTTGTGGTACAAACGTCATTTGATTCTCTACAAAGCTAAAAGTTTAAGAATTCAAGTTCAAGAACGATCAAGATCAAGACCACCGAATTCAAGAACAAGCTCGAAGCCCTTGAATTCAAATAAAAGTCAAGATCAAGATAAAGTTCAAGTTCATCATAGATTCAAGAACAAGCTTTAAAGCCCTTGAATTTATATTTGAAAAGGCGAATTCAGAGGAATTATAGAGATTGTAACACTCGCATTTGAAATAATAAAACAATTGTTGCTATAACTTTCCGTTCTTGATTATTGTTTTCTCGACGCGAATTTTATTGTCTACAAATTCTGGCACGCCCAGTGGGACAATCTCAACCTCTCATCTCAACTTTTCAAACGTCAAAGAATATCAAGATGACTTCCATGAACAACAACTCTCGATCAACCGCCTCTAAGGTCACTAGCTCCAAGTTCTGTACTGAATTTGAAGACATCCTTGGTGTTACCTTTTGGAAGTTTTGGAGCCGTTACGAGAAGCAAGGCTGCTACACTAGGGCAACAAACTCTTCAAGTGTAGTCTGTGGCAACTCCTGTTTTTGGATCTTCGACTCCAAAAGAAGCAAGTTCATCCACAAATTCTCTAGAAGGAGGGAGTAGTGTTGCTGAAAAGATCAAGAAGACATTGGATCTACTTGAGCAATCTGGTTCCAAGAACTCTACCACAAAGGAGAATTGTGATTCACCTTGTGAATCATCTCCACGTATATCGCGTAATGTGAGTCCACTAAAAATTAAATTACGCGACAATCCATGTTACTCTCCTGCATCTCCAATGATCATGCAAACTATGGTGGCTGTTGCTTCCTCTCCTGAGGGACAACTCGCAAATCTGACAAAGTTGGTTGAAGGATTGACGAAGCATGTACAACACCAAGAATCTCGAATTGACAAGTTGATGGACAGGATAGAAGGACTTTTAGATGGAGATGAGAGCCATGCACCTGGAAAGGGCATTGAAGTTCAAGAAATCGAAGATCCTGCTAAGAAAGCCCCGTTTGTTAAAGAGATGACAGCTTCTTCTGAAGGAATGATCCCACTCGATCGCTTGAAGGAGGTTTGTTGAAGGCACTATCAAAGATAAGTATGAAGTCTCCACCAAGACTTCTCATATGTACGCTAAGCCATACACTACTGGGATTGATAACTTTAAAATGTTTGCTTGTTATCAACCTCCCAAATTTCAACAATTTGAGGGAAAAGGAAATCCGAAACAACATGTTGCGCACTTCGTGGAGACATGTAATAATGCTGGAACATATGGAGACTATCTTGTCAAACAGTTTGTCCGCTCTCTAAAAGGAAATGCCTTTGATTGGTACACGGATCTCGAACCTAACTCTATTGATAGTTGGGAGCAACTATAACATGAGTTTCTCAATCGCTAGCACAAGGCACACGGTGAGCATGGTAGAACTCACGAATACTCACCAAAGGAAAGAAGAACCGGTCATAGATTTTGATAAATTGATGGAGGAACGCGAGCCTAAATTGCAAAGACAGGCTTAGCGAAGCTTTTGCAATCGAAATGTGTATTCAAGGAATGCACTGGGAGCTTCTTTACATCTTGCAAGGAATATAACCAAAATCATTTGTGGATTTAGCTACTCACGCTCATGATATGGAGTTTAGCATCTCATCTGCCGGAAAAGATATGACTATTGTCCATGATCCTCGCAAAGAAAGGGACAAGCAGGAACCAAAGAGATGGAGCAAGTTTCTGCTTAGAAATGACAACAAAGAATCCATGAGTGTAAATGTATCACCCACAAAGTTCACCACGAATGAGGGCGTAAAACAAAATGTGAGAACGACTTTCCAAGCACGTTCAAATCAAAAGTCGACGCTAAGGGAGATCCAAGGGAAAAAGTATCCCTTCTTGGATTCTGACATTTTTGAAATTTTTGATGAATTGATTCAGTTAAAGATCATTGACTTGCCAGAGATGAAGCGACCCAATGAAGCTGGAAAAGCTGATGACTTAAATTATTGCAAGTATCACAGACTTGTGAGTCATCCCCTTGAAAAATGTTGTCTTTAAGGATAGAGTGATGCGATTGGTAAACAAAAATAAAATTATCCTTGATGATAAGAAGGCTAGTTCTAACCAGATCTCTATCACGTTTGGGTCATTGGATCCAATCCAAATGTATATCTCTGAAAAGCATGAAGAAAAGCTAGTAGATCAGGACGTTGACATAGATGGTGATGAGGGTTGGATTCTTGTGACTAGGCGAAGACGCAACAAGCCAAGCTTACAAAAATAATTATCCGAGCAACCGGTTAGAGGAAAAATGGTGAAGAAATGAAAGAAGCAAAAATCAATCAAGCACCCCAAAAGGTCAAAGGTTGAAGTGCATCACTACCAAAAAACTCGACGTCTTGTGACTCTAGAGGAGTTCTTGCCAAGCTCGTTCGGTACAAAGTCTACTCAAGGCAATGTCGAGGCATCATGTTTCAATGTGGATAAAGGAAAAACAATGAAGGTGTCTCCTACTGTAAAAGAAGGAACAACGAGTGAATCCTCACCAAAAGTGTCTCTTGGGGAAGAAGAAAAAGAAAAAAGGGAAATCTCAGAAATGATGTCTCTTTCATCTTCTGAAAAATCTATTGAACTTTCTTCCCAAGAAGCACATGTCTTTGATACTAAAATCACATTTACGGATAACGATCTTTTATTTGGTGAAACACTATACAATCATCCTTTGTATATGGTAGGTCATGTGCTAGAGAAGAAGATAAATACAATCTTAATAGATGAAGGATCTGGAGTCAACATTTTGCCTATCCACACATTGAAGGAACTTGGCATCACGATTGGGGAACTTAGTGAAAGTCGTCTGTTGATACAAGGATTTAATCAAGGTGGGTAGAGGTCCATAGGCTCTATTAAATTAGAGATCCACATGGGAGATTTGCGATCAGGCGCATGGATGCATGTGATTGACGCAAAGACATCATACAACATATTACTTGGCAGGCCGTGGGTACATGAGAATAGAATTGTCTCATCTCCTTACTATCAATGTTTGAAATATCTTGAAGGTGGAATTGAAAGAAAGATAGTTGCAGATGATAATCCTTTCACCGAAGTGGAGACACACTTTGCGGATGCAAAATTCTATATGAGAAGTTATGTTTTTAAAGGGGTAAAATCCAATGACGTCAAATCAATCAAGATTGATAATATCGTAAGTAAAAGAATTGATGTAGCTATCAAAAAGGTAAAAATTGACACTAAAGACTCTTGTCCCATTTTGATGAAGGGAAGATCATGTCTTCAAAGAAGAAGCAGACTTCTAGGCTTTGCTATGTTCCAAAAGAGAAGAAAAAACAAGATCAACCATCTAACCTTGAAGAAGATGCATTAAGAGGGATAAATCTTCCTATCAGACGGATTGATGCAATAAACTTGTCTGCAAAGTTGCCAGAAAAGTCAGTCGCTCAAGATCAAGTGCTAGATATGGCTCTCCCTACAAAGCGCACAAGAGAAGGTTTTGATCCCAATGCCTACAAGTCATTTGTGAAGGCATGATACTACCCTAGCGAGCCATCAGCGCTAGGGAAACTCCCATCAGAAGATACAACTAGGAAAGCGCGTGAAGGCCTAGGTTGTATCCAACCACCGCCAATTCGCATTTCCATAAGAAGGGCCAGTAATAATCATATAACTTTTGAAGATGACGTCACTGCTCCAAATAAAAGTCCTTCTGTCTTTAATCGACTTGGTGAAGCGACAACAAGAATTTCTGTGTTTAAGAGGTTAGGTTTTCTGAAGAAGAATAACAAGAACCTGAGAAGTTATTCGAAAGTTACAAAGCCTACTTCACATTTGATTCGAAAGGATTTCAGAAGTTTGATTCCTTCTAGAATGAGGCGACGAGTGGAACTTATGGTTTCCTGTAAAGAGGAACTCAAGGCAAAGGTTCATACTGTGGTTTACACCAAAGAGCGCGAGGAAGATGAAGAAAGTGTAGGTTCCTCAAATCATGTTACAATCCAAAATGAATACGATTCTTTGCCTCAAAAGAAGATTGTGGAAGACGTAGAAGATATTGTCTCATGTTGTCATATATCAGTCAATGACAATGATCCTGTGGAAGAGGAAGATGCTAAAGATGCTCCACCAGAACTTGAAGAAGGAGTAAAGATCACAATAGATCCTTTGAAGGAAGTTAACCTTGGTACTGATGAAAATATGAAGCCAACTTACTTGAGTGCGTTTCTAGAAATTGATGAAGAAGTCGCTTACATGAATATACTCAAAGAATATAGAGATGTATTCGCTTGGAGTTACAAAGAAATGCCTGAATTGAATCCTAGAGTAGCGGTCCATCAATTGGCAGTCAAAAATGGTTCTCGTCCTGTTAAACAAGCTCAAAGACATTTTAGACCAAACTTGATTTCGTTGATAGAAAATGAAGTTAACAAACTTATTGAGGCAGGATTTATTCGTGAGGTCAAATATCCTACATGGATTTCAAGTATTATTCCTATGAGGAAGAAGAATGCTCAAATTCGAGTTTGCGCTGACTTTAGAGATCTCAATAATGCATGCTCTAAAGATGAATTTCCTCTTCCCATTCCAGAGTTGATGATTGATGCCACCACTGGTTATGAGGCAATGTCGTTCATGGATGGTTCTTCTGGATATAATTAAATCCGCATGTTACCAAAAGATGAAGAATTCACTGCATTTCGCACGCCAAAAGGTATTTATTGATACAAAGTGATGTCATTTGGTTTAAAGAATGTTGGCGCCACATATCAAAAGGCTATACAAAATATCTTTGACGACTTGCTCCATAAAAATGTTAAATGTTATGTTGATGATTTGGTAGTAAAGTCGAGGAAGAGGGGTGATCATTTGAAAGACTTAAGGATGGTGTTTGAGTTACTCCGAAGATATCAACTAAGATGAATCCATTGAAATGTGCCTTAGCAGTTACTTCCGGCAAGTTTCTTGGATTTATTGTGAGACATCGAGGAATTAAAATTGATCAAGACAAAGTCGATGCAATATCAAAGATGCCTGAACCTCGAGATATTCATGAGTTAAAAAGTCTCCAAGAAAAGTTAGCCTACTTGAGAAGGTTCATCTCAAATCTAGCGGGGAGATGTCAACCATTCAGTCATCTCATGAAGAAAGCTGCTCCTTTTAATTGGGACCAAAAATGTAGCGAAGCCTTTAAAAGTATCAAATCGTATCTAGCGAAACCTCCAGTTTTGGCAACCCCTATACCTGGAAAACCATTGATACTCTACATTGCGGCACAAGAAAGGTCTGTAGGAGCCCTGTTAGCTCAAGAGAATAGTGAAGGCAAAGAAAATATTAGTTATTACTTAAGCAGAACGATGACGCCATATGAGCTAAATTATTCACCAATTGAAAAGTTATGCTTGGCGCTGGTCTTCTCAATTCAAAAGATGAAGCATTATTTTCAAGCTCCTGTTGTCCGCCTTATTTCTAGAGTAAATCCCATCAAGTTTGTTATATCAAAACCTGTCCTTAGTGACCGACTAGCAAGATGGTACCTCCAATTCCAAAAATTTGAGATTGTGTACATCTCTCGAAATCTGTGAAGGGACAAGCACTAGCGGATTTCTTAGCAGACCATCCTATACCAAATGATTGGGAGTTAACTGATGAGTTTCCTGAGGAAGATGCAATGTTAATTGAAGTTCAACCTCCTTGGAAAATGTACTTTGACGGGGTTGCACATCAGCGGAGATGGTGCTGGCGTGGTGTTCATCACTTCACAAGAAGAAATTCTACCATTCTCTTTTACTCTAAAACAATGTTTCCAATAATGTCGCTGAATATCAAGCACTGATACTGGACTTGAAATGGCCGTTGACATGAAACAATTACATTTACAGGTCTTTGGTGACTCGCGATTGGTGATTAATCAACTCTTAGGAAGTTATGAGGTAAAAAAGCTTGAATTGCAACCTTATCATGATTATGCTCAAAAGTTGATAAGATGGCTTGGGGATGTAAATGATTCGGATTATATTGAATTCATAAATATATTAATTCAAATAAATATTGTGGATTAATATAATTGACTTAAATATTTAAGTCCAATAAATACGGATTTAACTGAAGTCTAAATTAATTGATTTGGGCTAAATTGGATGAACCCAATTTGTTAAACCCAATCACATCTCATTCTAGAGCCCATCTTGGCGCCACGTGTGCAAATGATGTGTCATGCCAAGTCAAATAAGAAAACCAATAGAATCATGACATGTGTCAAAGATAACAAGCCCGCTCCATAAAGCCCATATGTCATGTCACTTAAATCTGATTGGCTGAACGGAATCCTATTCCAATCGCAACTCCTCTATTCTAAAACTATAAATAGGAGTCCTCATAAGTCAGAAAAGGGACAAAAAATTCTAAACAAGAAGCTAGAGAAACTCTGTGGTACAAACGTCATTTAATTCTCTACAAAGCTAAAAGTTTAAGAATTCAAGAATTCAAGTTCAAGAACGATCAAGATCAAGACCACCGAATTCAAGAACAAGCTCGAAGCCCTTGAATTCAAATAAAAGTTGAGATCAAAATAAAGTTCAAGTTCAAGTTCATCATCGATTCAAGAACAAGCTTTAAAGCCCTTGAATTTATATTTGAAAAGGCGAATTCAGAGGAATTATAGAGATTGTAACACTCGCATTTGAAATAATAAAACGATTGTTGCTATAATTTCTTGATTATTGTTTTCTCGACACGAATTTTATTGTCTACAACGACATTTCCCTTTGATAATTTCATCATTTTGAGCATCATCGTGTTCATCTTCTTCATTTTAAATTTTGAATAGTAATGGACCTATTTTTCTTAGTATCATTATCACATATTGCATCAAAGGTATGTGTGTCATGAAATAACATATTCAACATGTCAACGTTACTTTTGAAAAATAAAAGTAAATGAAAACAAAGAGAATGTACATATCTTATATAGTTAGACTAATTAACAATTTAAAATACTCATACATGTATAATATGAATTGAAAAGATGCATTTAATAACAATTGGATATCATGTTTTACATGGTCATCATACAATATTACTATTAAAGAAGTCGATAGTAGAATGAGAACAGATAAAAATGGCAACTAAATTCATAATAGATATTATAGAATGCTTACCTCAATAATAATTGGATCATCCCTAATATTGTCACCCTACATATCCAAATAAATTGGTAAGAAGCTCATAATTATAAGAAAATAAAGAGTATGATTCATATATAAGTAGAAAAATATAAGTGAAAACAGTAGTAATGCAGACAACAATCATGGTATGATAGATATTTAATCGCGACTCTTCCACTAATTACAGGAGAACTCGATTGAGGATCAATATTGTTTCTCAAGAAACAAACGTGTATCCCAAATTCATGTTCTCTTAAATTTCTCACTGGATCGCCTGAAGGCTGGATAAGAGCATTAGACTGACTTCTTGAGGTAGATGAACTACCACCACCAAAATTTGTATTTTGCTCAAAAAACGCTTGGTGTGTAAAATTTTCCACAAAATCCATACTTGAAGGTCCATGGAAGTATGTATTCTAAAATTATAAATTGCCAAAAGTTTTCTGTTTGAAGAGAGATTCTACCATTATTTGAAAGACTTTGATGTCAGTATTTGTGACACCACTTGTAAATTCACTTACGGTGTGTGAGAAGCTCCATCAAAAGTGTGTACTCTGAAAAAATGAAGTTGTCAGAGCATGTAATAATTATGAATTTCGGAAGAGCAGACGTTCTAATGAAATGAGATCAATATTTTTAACACTATTTACGAGGTGAGAAGTTTCAGTACCTCCTCTGGCATAATTGTTGGGTTCATTTAAGTCAATTGAATTTTCCTCGGTGCAATCAGTAAAATATGATTAAATTCAAATTGATATTTTTATAATATTTGATTGAAGACTCCGTTTCTCTCGTTACAATTGTATTTTTCCCATTTCTGAATCCATAAGAAATAATAATTTCCTGAAACAGCTAAACAATTCAATCAAAGTTAAATTTAAGAAATTGCCCAACATATCTGAAATAGCACCTTAAAATATTGTTCTATTATTTATATATAAAAAAACGCATTCAAACATGACTTTACAAATAAAATTAATCACATCTTCTTCATATACTAGTTTAATTTCAAGAATATAAAATAGGTGAAAAAATAAGAAGGCCTAATGCATGTGACACTTATGAGTAAACTTTCTCTTTACACATGTCATACACAAGGATGTAAGAATAAGTTTGATGAAAACTGACAGTCACTAACATTTGAGTAAACTCAAGATGTTCCAAAATTTTATGTGATACAACCAAGAATTATATATCATTCTTTAAAATTTTAATACACTACTATAAACAATCACTTAGAAACAAATATTTTGCTACAATAATAGAATTGACTATATCATATTTAGCAGCTATAATAAATATGTTAATATTTGTAACCAACACTTCAGAAATACAACGACATTAATTAGTTTAATTTATTTACTTAATATTTTTTCTCCAGAATAAAAATTTATTTTCATTAAATCTATATTTTGTTGAAGTGATATACGTGTTAAAATGAGTATAACTTTTGAATGAAGACCTGCTCTAGTAAAATCTTTTAGTAGAACATAACCTTCAAACTTTAGAAAAAAAAATTAGCATGAAATTGGCTTCACAAGAATAATAAAATTCTGAAAATTTAGCAGAACATAATCTTGCGTACATGAAACTAATAACCTAACCACAAAATATTGTGTTTATAGTTAGTTTTTTTTTTATATATAGAAAACAATTTTTTAAACTAAATCAAATGTCATGTGAATTGAGAAAATTCTAGATTTTAAAATAAGGAAAAACAAAATTCTTTTGACATTATTTACTCCAACTAAATTAAATACGAAAGAAAATTAAACCACTAAAGCTAAATCCCAAAATCTATGTGAAGAAAAATAAATAAATTTCTCTTTTATATAATTAATCTTCGAAATATAGATCTAAGAAAAGATTTGAGGTTTGTAGTGAGACTGTCTATTTTCTAAAGGATAGAACTTTTCGTCAAAGATCCTTTTTAAAGCATTAGTAACACATTTTTTCTGGTTAACCCAAAATACACACAGACTTAATTTCTTATTTAGGTCAGATTCCCCTTGCTCCCACCCCTGTTTCGCCATAAAATCAGATATTAAAATAAAAAAATTAACAAATTATAATTAAAAAAGTTAAAATGACATGTCTATAGAGTCATTGACTATTAACTAGAGAAATAATCATTTATAATACTAAAATACACTTTAAACTTAAATTAAATTTATGAAAATTATAAAACACGATCGATGAAAATGTTCACAAGAAAATCAGTTGCCAAATAAATTGTAATTTTTCATTTATAATGATTGTTTCAAAACCTTCATATAGGGACACTGAACAAATTTTACCTCAACAAAATATTTCATAAAATGGTGAACGCTAGTTGAACAATTTTAATAAGGTAAGACTGAATATACTACAAATCACTCAACGCCTTTGTCACTTTGAAAAATCTGAAAATCAAAGAGTCTTGTCAATATCACTGGTCTACAGCAAGAATAAAGACGAGAAACATTAGTCTCTAATAAATTAGTTATATAATTGTCTACATTTTTTATGAGATAACAAAACGAAGGCAAGATACACCATTAATTCTGGAATAAACAAAAATGTCCTAATTTAAAAAAAATAACGCAAAAATCATAACATAAAATTTGAATCTTAACCATGAAATTTGCCTCTTTGAGAGAAAGACTTGTGTGAATTTAGAAGCACAAATTAAAACTTAATAATCTTGGTTTGAATAAGCAAGTACACAAAAAAAAAATTTAAAAAGGAACAAATTGACCAATGACTCAATCAAACAGCAAAACATAAAGACAAGAATAATTGTCATGGATCAAAGGACATGGCCAGATAGACATGATTTCTCTAAAAAAAAGAGTATATGATCGCACAAATAACTGAATTTATGAACGAAGATCTACGACATGCTCAGAGGCATTATTTCTCTAATAAAACCTAGTGTCACAAATAACTATAATTACAAACCAAGACCAATCCATACATATATTCAGTCTAAAACGCTTATTCTCATTTCAAAAGTGAAACAAGAACATAAAAAATAACTCACCATTTTTACAAGAGTGTAGTAATGAAGAAATTTTTTATGTTGTGAATAATGAAAACAGTTGAAGGGGTAGTATTTAATATGTAGTAATTAGGTGGTTGTAGCGTTGACTGCAACATTAATTGCAAGACTTTTTTACAAATATATTTCAAGCGGAGAAATATATGCTACTATATAAAATTAAAGAATTAAAGTGTGTGAATGTTAAATATATACAAATATTAGTGATTGTAGCAAATTAAGTTTTCAAAAAACATTTCAAACGAATAAATATTTACTATGCAATGAAAATTAACAATCGAGGGAGTGATGCTTAATGTATACTAACACCAAGTGATTGCAAGGAGAAATTTATGTTACTCAATGAAAACGGATGATCAAATGGGGTGAGTGTTGAGTATATATCAATAAAAGTGATTATAATAATTTAAATATCCTAATTAGGACATGAAGTTAATAAAACTGCTCAATTTGTCAGTTTATTTGTTAGATTCACATAAATTAGAATTTTGGAGAGAGACATTATGCGTGGAACAAGTTGATTCTACATGAACTTGTGTTAACCTAATATGATTAGGAAAATGTGAATATGATCGTATACATGCGCAACAATGTGAAGTAGTTTGAAGTGCTTCTAAGTCCTACAAGGAGTAAAAAACATTTCAAACATATCAAGTTCAAGGCGAAGAAGGAAAGGTTTGTCAATCTATATAAAGAGAAGGGTTTTCTGTAAAATGACTTGTGCACTTAGAATATCACTAACAAGCAAAACATGATTAAATTTGTCTTGGAGTGCAGCGTAAGATATATTGATAGTATAATTATTCATTGGATGTTTTAGTTAATTATATCAATTCCAAGTGAGTTCTAACTGTGGATGGGTATAACAAGTTAATGCAACTTGTTGACTATAAAAGATTTAAACCTTGGCTTTTCGTCTTGGGTATAGGAACTAAAGTTAATAATTTCCTAGATTACAAAATTGTGTAATTGTTGTCTAATTTTAAGTTCTGATTAATAAAAGGGAAGTTTTGAATTGTTGTGTTATTGACTTGCACACTTATTTACTTTAAATTACTATATAATCAAGGAACATATAGTTAGTAAATCTTGCTTAGTACAATTATAAAGGTCATAATTCCAACAAATGACATCAGAGTAACGTTATCTTAATTAAGAGTCTAAAATTTCAAGAAAAGATCACTATAAATTATACACTTCCTATTGGACATGGTCAAGAGCTACATATCAACACACCACCTTTATTGTCACTACCCAAGTTAATAACGTGACCAACTCTAAGAGGGAGAATCACAAAGCAAGAATTATCAAAATTGTACAGAAATGTGGGCAGAGTTTCCTTTATTTCTAGGCCTATCCTTAGTTTTCTGTGTTTAGAATATCACAACACAACTGATAGCAACTATACCCCACGACATAATATTCACCAATGATCTGATTGGTACGCGATAAAATCAATTCATCTCCAAATATGAAAAAAAAGTTATAAACTAGTCACTTTACTACAATACGAAATATTAATCATGACTCAAATAAAAGGAATGATAAATGGAGCGACTCTAAGAGTTTAAAAATACATGAAAAATCAATAGATCTCTTGCCTCTCGAGGCAATTTCGGGCTCACAAGATGACACCAAATTATACTCTCTAATAAATTAAATGCTTCTCAATACCACTTGAGTTCTCTGTAAAACAATTAGGGGGAAGTGAGATGCTAGTTCAGTGAGTATTAATAGTTAAGCACAACCATTTTACTCAGGGACAAGTCAAAAATATGCTAGTATAATAATCATAATGATGAAATAAAGCTTTTCAGAAACAATAATAATATTCAATGTTATGTGCATCATATAAGCAGAATAAATGTTAATACTTGATAGTACATTCAGAAAAATATTTTCACATCAAATCGTACAGCTAGGAGGTATCCTTTTTTCAGTGTGCCCTTCTCTTTAAGAAATAAAAAATAACATTAAACTCCTCATAAAGGATTTAAATATTTATAGCAGTAGATCCCTTGTTGAGGGATATCAGTAATAGTATACTAGTTCTAGCTTCTCACTTTCAAGAAATTTATCGGTAATCTGTAACTACAAGGTGCACCAGGTCGAATGAACGCATCATTAGCTACGGAATTCATCAAGGTCTACTCTCATTTACACTTTTCTCGTGTTCTTTGAAGCATTTCAAAATCGAACAACTCATATAAATCTTATCAAATCATATCATTTCAATGTTTAACACACACTTGCCAAAACAATATTTCTCAAGTAAGTGTAAAACCTTTCTGTAATAGTAATCATATCATGTAAAAATGAGATCCTCTGAAATAATCATTTCAATTTCATATCAACTAAAACACTTGTCCCACATGAAGTTCATAACATTCAGTAACACATTTACTTTATAAATCATGTAAAACTCATGAAATTTATGAAATACTATTTGTGGTGAGATTATTGCTCATAGTACTCATGCCAAAATACCAGGCTCGTCACTCTAGTAATCCATATGAATTTTATTTGTTAATCTATAATCACATCATATCAGTCTCATGTTAAAATCTTGTTTAAAAGCTAATTCATTATAAATGTGGAATACACAAACCTCAAGTTATTACGATTAACTCTTCATTCATCAAATCATATATATTAATGTTATGAACAAATTAAAAAGTTAATGTACTTGGAAATTTCAACATACTTAAAAAGTTCATCCCATTCCTTACTGAGAAGTATACCAAACTAGTGCTTAAGACCAAGAAACAACCCATTGCAAATTGATTTCTAACGATATAAATATTAACTTTGTACTCAAAAATAAAAATCCATAACAATAAAAAGATAACTCATGGAAAATTTATTAATCAAA